CGTTTCGTGGCAGAAGGCTATACCGCGTGCGCTACTCGGAGTTTGCGCGCCCCCCTCCTTCGTCTCATCGTCCTCGCGGCACTCGCAGCTGCATATGGTTGGGTCTTTCGTCAGGCTAATTGTTGTGAGTGTTTCGTTATCTCTCTCTCTCTCTCTCTCGCTCTCCCTCTCTCTCCCTCTTGGGAAGGAGTGAGAAGAGAGCAACGGCGGATGAGAAGGACGGACGGACGGACGGATGTGAATGCCTATTCGATCACGGTACGAAACATGTTTATTCCCCTCTCCCAGTCCATCCCTTCTCCTTGCCACCTCACCTCCCCCTCCTCCCCCCATTGGGACATTGTGCGTGCGATTATTAAACAATGTTTGATGCCCTCCTCCCCCTGCTTATCCACCGCTTCTACCTGCTCCTCCTCATCCTGCGTATCATCCCTCCTCTCTCCCCAATCCTTCCTCTGCCCCCTCCCTCATCTGCTGTCCCCCCTCCTCCGCCTCCTGCTCCTCCTTCTCATCCGTCGTTCGTATTCCCTTCACCCGTCTCCTCCCCCTCCTCTTGCGTCATCCGCTTCCTCCGTCCACGGTCCTCCCGCCGTATCCGTCCTCATTCCCTACCTAGGCTCTGCCTAGAAGGGTTCTTACCCTGTGAGCTTAAAGCGCCGGGCAGTGGGGCTCGCCCCGGGCGGTTCCCCCGGCATCCGCCCCGCGGTTCCCCCAGTTGCGCCCCTTGGGTTCACCCAGCTTAGCTTAGCTAAGCTTAGTTTGGCTTAGCTTAGCTTAGCTTAGCTTATATCAGCTTAGCTTAGAGTTGCCTAGCCTAGCTTCGCTTAGCTTAGCTTTGTTTCGCTTAGCTTGGCTTAGCTTAGTTTAGCTTATATCATCTTAGCGTAGCTTGGTTTAGTTTAGCTTAGCTTGGCTTAGCTTAGCTTAGCCGAGCCTAGCTTAGCTCAGCTTACCTTAGCTCTTTATAGCGTTGCTTACCTTAGCTTAGCGCAGCGCAGCATAGCGCAGCGCAGCATTAGCACAGAATAGCATAGCATAGCATTGCCAAGCATATGATAGCATAGCATCGCATAGCATAGCTCAGCATAGCATAGCATGGCATAGCGCAGCATAGCATAGCATATCATATCATGACAATGCTTAGCATAGCACAGCGCAGCACAGCATATCATCGCACCGCATAGCATAGCATAGCATAGCATAGCAGAGCGCATCATTTCATACCATAGCATATCATAGCATATAATATCATAACATAGCGCAGCATGTCATATCATAGCGTGACATAGCATAGCATAGCGCAGCAGAGTCTAGCATAGCATGTCATAGCGCATCATAGCATAGCGTAGCATCGCACAGTATATCATAGGTGTAGATGTAGATGTAGATGTGAGCCTCGCGGTTAGATGTAGATGTAGATGCAGGTGTAGATGTAAATGTAGTTGTCGGTGTAGATGTAGATACTGCTGTCCTAAATGCTCCAACTCCTCGGTAGGGTCGCACTGGGATACTATTCGTCTCCCTTCCCCTCCATCCTCATCCCTTCTCCTCCTCCGCCGCCGGTTCCCCTCCTCCTCCTCCTCCTCATCATCATCATCATCATCATCATCATCAGCATCAGCATCAGCATCAGCATCATCATCATCATCATCATCAGCATCAGCATCAGCATCAGCATCAGCATCATCATCATCATCATCATCATCATCATCATCATCGTCATCATCATCGTCATCATCATCATCATCATCAGCATCATCCATCATCATCATCATCATCAGTCTGTTCCTTATCATTTCCTTCTCCTCCCCTCCTCCTCCTCCTCCTCTTCTTATCCTCCCTCCTCCTCCTCCTCTTCCTCCTAGCTCCTCCTCCGCCTCCTCCTCGACGCCTCCAGCCTCCTTCCTCCTCCTCCTCCTCCTCCTCCTCCTCCCTCCGCCTTCCTCCTCCTCCTGGACTCATCCTCTTCCTCCTCCTCCCTCCTCCTCCTCCTCCTCCTCCTCCTCCTCCGTGCCTCCTCCTCCTCCTGGACTCATCCTCTTCCGCCTCCTCCTCCTCCTTCTCCTCCATCCTCTCCTCCTCTCCTCCTCCTCCTCCTCCTCCTCCTGGACTCATCCTCTTCCTCCTCCATCCCTCCTTCTCCCTGCACTCCTCCTCCTCCTCCTCCTCTTCCTCTTCTGCGTCTTGAAATTCCTCCCGCTCCCTGGACTCATCCTCTTCCTCCCCTCCTTCTCGGAATGGCACTCCGGCTTCCCCCTCCTCCTCCTCCTCCTCCTCCTCCTCCTCCTCCTCCTCCTCCTCCTCCTCCTCTTCCTCCTCTTCATCCTTTCCCTCCCCCTCCGCGTCCACTCGGTTTCCGTACAAGTAAGTATTTCTTGTCGCACTTTGAGGCCAGTCGGAAGGGCGGGTTGGGCGTTTCAGTTGAGATCTCTTTGCCATTCAGGACCTTGCAGTTTCGAAAACCTACAGGTTCACAGATGGAGGGCAGGTTGATTCAACATGGGGCCCTCGCCTTAGCGCCGCGCGCATTCGTCTTACACAATTGCAAGGGCGTCGCGGATTGAGGGCGGGTCGTACTCAAAATGTAGGATTCGCTTCAGCGCCGCGCATAGTGGTCGCATACAGTCGCAAGAGTTCCACGGATTGAGAGCGGGCGGTGTTCTAAATGTGTGCTGCACTTGTGCCGCGCACAGGTGGTTTTAACAACTAATTTGGCGAAGGACACAACCACATGTCGTTGTGAGTAATGCAATTGTGTGCGTTGTCATCGGCGGAGTTTCCTTTGGAACCACGAAGCGTGTGAGGGGTGTGCCGAAATGGTTGCGGCGGGCGCATGCGAGTGCAGCCACTGGGGCCTTCGGTGGAGCCTTACGGGGCCACGAAGCGCGTGGGGGGTATGCCGACTTGGGCGGGGCGGACGCATGCGAACACCGCCATTGGGGCATTCGGGGGAGCTCCCATACGGAGCCGCACAGCGTGTGAGGGACATGCCGACATGGGCAGGGCATGCGCATGCGAACACCGCTACTGGAGCCTTCAGTGGCGCTCCATATGGGGCCACGACGCGTGTGAGAGGTGTGCCGAAATGGGTGCGGCGGGCGCATTCGAGCGCAGCCATTGGGGCCTTCGGTTGAGTTCTTTACGGGGCCACGAAACGTGTGAGGGACGTGCCAACGTGGGCGGGGCGGGCGCATGCGAACACCGCCATTGGGGCTGTCGGTGGAGCTCCCCATGGGGCCACGACGCGTGTGAGATGTGTGCCGAGATGTGCGCGGCGGGCGCATGCGAGCGCAGACATTAGGGCCTTTCGGTGGAGCCCGGGATGGGGCCACGAAGCGTGTGAAGGGTGTCCATTGGGGCCTTCGGTGGCGCTCCCTATGGAACTACGAAGCGTGTGGGAGGGGTGTGCCGAAATTGGCTCGGTGGGCACATGCGAACGCAGCCATTGGGACCTTCGGTGGAGTTCCCCGCGGGACAACTGAACGTGTGAGGTGTGTGCCGATATTAGCGCGGCGGGCGCATGCGAGCGCAGCCAGAGTGGCTTCCGGAGAAGCACCTTATGAGGCCGCGAAACGTATGAGGAGTGTGTCGGAATGTGCGCGGCGGGCGCATGCGAGCGCAGAATCTGGAGCTTTCGGCGGAGCTCCTTGTGAAGCCACCAAACGTGTGAGGGGTGTGCCGCAATGGGCACCGCGGACACATGCGAACGCAGCCATTGGGGCTTTCGGTGGGGCTCCCCATGGGGCCATAAGCGTGTGAGGGGTGTGTCGACATTGTTGCGGAGGGCACATGCGAGCGCAGCCAGTGGGCCTTCGGTGGTGCTCCTTTTGGGCCCCTAAACGTGCGAGGGGTGTGCCGAAATGTGCACGACGGGCGCACGCGAGCGCAGCTACCAGGGCTTTCGGTGGAGCTCCAAATGGGGCCACGAAACGTGTGAGGAGTGTGCCAAAATTGGCGCGGCGGGCGCATGCGAGCGCAGCCACTAGGGCCTTCGGTGGAGCTCCCTATGGAACCACGATGCGTGGGAGGGGTGTGCCAATATGGGTGCGGCGGGCGCATGCGAGTGCAGTCTCTGGGGCCTTCGGTCGAGTTCTTTACGGGGCCACGAAACGTGTGAGGGACGTGCCAACGTGGGCGGGGCGAGCGCATGCGAACAACGCCATTGGGGCTGTCGGTGGAGCTCCCGATGGGGCCACGAAGCGTGTGAGTGGTGTGCCGAAATGTGTGCGGCGGGCGCATGCGAGCGCAGACACTGGAGCTGGATCTGCTTCTGACGCCACGAAACGTGTGACGGGTGTGCCGAAACTGTTAACTGGTGCGGAAGGCAGAGGCAGGGATGGGAGGAGGGAGGGGGCTGCGGGAGAAGGAGGAGGAGGAGGAAAGAGAACGCTGGGCGCTGTCTCTTGCGAACGAGGACCCAACAACGCAGGACGGTTGGGAGCATTAATAAGAGCTTCACGGATTGAGGGCGGTTCTTTTTTCAAAATGTGGTTATCGCTTCAGCGCCGCGCACATTGGTATTACACAGATGCAAGAGTGTCACGGATTCCCATGGTCGACGTACCAGAAATTGAAATATTGAACGATTTAGGATTGCTAAGGTACAACAGTTACGTTGATTCGCGGTGTGAAAGTCCCAGGAATGGTGTTCTCGCACGCTTCAGGGCCGTCAAGACGCAACAGTCAAATTGTTTCGTGGCGCTTGCGTCCCGAAAAGTATGCTTCGTCATGCTTCAGGATCCTCAAACGGTTGTCTCCCAACGGGGCACTGCCCTCAGTGGGAACGAGTCTTCGTCGAGGACTACGAAGCGGGAGTTTGGAGACATGTTTTGTTCTCCAACGTCGTGGATGGGTTTTGGGTTTACACTGGTCCTCCTCCTCCTCCGCCTCATCATCATCATCATCATCATCATCATCATCATCATCATCATCATCAGCATCATCATCATCATCATCATCATCAGCAGCAGCAGCAGCGTCAGCAGCAACAGCAGCATCAG